ATGGGAGTAGTAATTCAAGTACGCAGGATTTGGTCTGTGTGCATGTGTGGACACTTTTGTGCGGTGTGCACATGTAAATCATGAGTCAGTCACGCTCCACATCAGAGGAGGGGGGGGGGGGATTGAACCCCTTTTTTTTTTTTTTTTGAGCACTGCCAGCCACTGTGTCATGATTGCACCAGGACTGATTAGTTATGTGTGAGATTCCAGCCAACAGGCCCTCCGGATCTGAGACGAGCCTGCAGTGATTGCTGGTTACCGGCCAAAGTGGATGGAAGTGTAGACAAAGTAGTAATCCTCAAGATGTACTTTTTTTCCTCGTGTGTTTGCCTTTTTATTTATTTTGCCAACATCTCCAGTGCCAAGCAAACATTTCAGAGTTCTGTGATATTTTCTTTTTATTTTAGTCAACTTTATAAACTGTTACTGCTGCTGGCAGCACAAGGCATGCTTCTTTCTCATTAATTTTAGACAGCAAACGGATATTTAAAAGTGTGAATGATAATCTAGGTAGTTATTTATCTAAAAGCGGTAACAGATTTACTTGAAGCTGCGATCTGGAGTTTTCCCCCTTTCAGGAATAATGTATGATTTTTTTGTTAGAAAGCCGTAAAAAGGCTCGTCTTACCCTTTACTGTGATATCATGTAGAATATACCTAGTTGTTTTTTGCCATCCCCATAGAGCCCAAAGCTATTTGAATTGGCCACCGCCCAGGATTAGCCCATAGCACTAGACCTCCGCTTACGTACAGATGTCATTTAAAGAGCGAGCTTTTGAGAGCACACCATGACTGAAGCTGAGTTGGCTAGAGATGCTCGATCATGAGTGAGGGGTGTTCCATCCAGGGGTAAACAAGAAAGTGGGCGATACATTTCTCAGCCTCTAGATGGTGCCGTCATAGAAAAAAAAGATTTCTGTTTAAATCGCGTGGCGACACCACAAAAGCCACAAAATTAAAATACAGGGTGACTGTCTAAAAGTGAGGTTCGCTGAGGAACGGGCTTGTTCTATTTGAAGATCGGTCGGTCGCTCTGAGTTTCACATGCATGAAAATAGTCAGGATTCTAACATGAATTTTAACATTAATGGTAACCATGCTTTACTGATCACAAGCTGGGGAATTAGAGTGGCAAGGGACACACAAATGATGTGGCTGACCAGGTTCTGGCATGTGTAATTTGAGATAAAACATCAGCGCTGCATTTGTTTTCCCAAAAAGAGAGAATGGAAGAAGCGGAAGAGTCACATTACTGTTAGCCAGTCAGAGACAAGATATTTTAAATTAATGACTAAAACTCTAAACCCTGCCATTTTCTGCCCCTCCCCAGGAGCACCAGAGCTTTTTTTCCCCACAGAAAACGACTCACAAGCCGTTCATTGATATTAGAGACCACAGCAAATTCATTGAAATAACGAGTGTATGCCTTATTTAATATGCTAAGCTCTTTTCTGTCAAATAAGATGAAACTTGTTAAATATGATAAACCTCATGTGCAAATAATCTCAGCACTCAGTTTGAGCGCCTCAAGATGGCAGGCACCATGCTGATTTCCTTCAGCAGAATGACACTGACATGCGGTGCAGATTTAGCCACACCACGATGGCACCTGCTAGCAGACCCCCTGTCAGCAGGACAGGTGGCAGTTTGATGGGGAGACCTCAGCAACAGTGAGCGTGGAAACAAGTCACCTCAATGTCAAATCACATCTGTGGTCATTTCTTAAGGTGTGGTGACACAGTTAAAGCAGCCTGATTATTGAATAGCTAACGCTAATGCAGAACGCTGGTTCACAGGCAGATTACATATCCTCAGGCTTTCCATCCTCATTGTTTCTTGTGTGCTCCCTCTCACCCTTACAGCTGAAGCTTAGCCATGGACACATCCACCCACTCACTGTTTAGTCTTTTGTCCTCTTTGAGCATGTTTCTAAATGTCATCATGATGTTAAGCAATGTTGTGAGAGCAGAGCAGACCGGGCTTGCTGTTGCTTTTGTGTTACAGGCTCCTCAATGGGACAGACAGGCGTGCACACCAACACGCTGTGATTTCACCGACAAACAGGCATTCATTCTCAGCCTCACACTCTCTTGATTGTCTCTTTTCCTTCTCCCTCTCTCGCTCTCACTGCACACCACTGGCTGGATTAGCATAGTAATGTGCCTTGTTGCATCACACTGACTGGAATCAATTACGGCCGGTCATCCGGCGTCTATAGCAGGAGACGTTTATACCGGTCTGCTGTTTGTTAATCATGTCCAACAGCAGTTTATCTTCATACCCTTTCACTCTTCTTTTCAGATAAAAAAGGAAGAGGGGCAGCATGTAAAGCATTGATACAAAATTACGTGAAGCCAAGTGCAATAAATGTCTGACGTAGAATTAGTCTTGGACACTGGTGCATAAAGATTATGACACGTTTTCAGATTCATGTTATTTCCTGACACAACAACGAGGTGGCGTAGGTCATTCCTACAGGTTTTATATTCCCTGCAGTGTGCAATGTTCTCCTGCAACTCATTCACTGGTTACAAACATTTTTTGTCTTGAAGTTTTTTGTGAGCCATGCTTTGATGTCACTAATTTCACTAACAAACACACACTTTCAGTGTTCCACTGCACGGCAGCACTGTGATTCTGAATCGCCCGTGGTGTTTTTAGGTTTAGTTCTCTTTGAATTGAAGGCCATGAAAAAAAAATGAATATATATTCAAAGCATTGCTTAAATAAGGGTCCACACAGATTTTACTGCATTTATTTAGAGACAACATGGTTTCCAGATAATCTCCCCAGCCTGCAAGAGGTATTCACCTTCCTGGGATCGAGTACAGAACTCTTCCAGCAAACACAAGCACAGGCGTCCACATTTCTTCCCTCTCTCTCATCAGATTGCATCTACTTACACTTAACTCCCCAGACAGCAGGGTCTATTTGCCTGTGTGTCTGACTGCACGTCTGCTGCCGCCAACGCTGTGCGAGTTTTGACCTCAATTCCTACCCAACTTCATATTACCGAGTCTGCCGCTGCAGCTGCAGTACAGATTGTTCTGGAGTGAGTAATCAGAACTTCTGCAGGTTGTGCATTGTCATTCCAGTGGTGTGGCACCATAACCTTTAAACGGAATCCCTGTCTGATCACGACGGCACGTGTCAGTCGGGGCACCGAGGAGCTAGACGATCCAAATCTGGCATTTGTTCTTTCAGTCGAGGATTGATCAGAGCAGGTTTTACCTCAGAGATATCCTCACAGGAGACCAAGAGCATCTGAAATATCAGCAGCAACACAGAATCGTGAGCAATGTGTTTCGCATCTATAAAAAAAAGAACAACATATAAAACTCCCTCGACGTAGCAAACGCATTTCTAAACTGCGGATTATCCCAATAAAATGTTGTGATGATGAAAACAGAGTACTGTAGGTGCCTCCTCAGCTCCGGCTATCTTCCATAAGCATGTCTTCTTGGATCTTTTTCAGTCCCTAACTGCTCCGCTTCAGATTTTCTGCTCGGTTTGGCACTTTTAAGCTCTTTAGTAAAGAGCCACAGCCTTTGCAAAGCGTCCATAGATACTTCACAGATGCTGCACAAATAATTGATGAGCAAACATTGGTTTATCAGTTTATTGGTGTGTCTGAATTCGTGGTTGCCATGGCAACTTCTTCTTTAGAGCTCTGTGCAGCATTAAAAGCAAATAAATCAATAAAAACAGCAATCCTTAACCAGGTAAAGTGATGAGAAGGGGTGAGGAATGTAAAAGTTCAGAAAGTCAAGGTGCCAGTGAAGTAAAGTGAAGTCTCTGACGAATAACACTTTCTTGTTCTCATGCAACTCGTCTAGCTATAAGTAAAGGGGGTTAGATGTCATAAGCTCGATTTTCCAGTGTCAAAATGATTGTTTTAATGTCTGAGTGGTTTTTATTTTTATTTTTTGACCTTCTGTACAGTTTGAAGGACACCTTTAAGCCACCTAACCTAAAATGTTCCAGTTGAACAGACATGGCTGGTAGAGCTGGGCCAGGCACCCTTAGGTGAAATGCTGTGTGCAAGGGTGCATGTCAAGTATTCATGTGGTGCAGTCTCCCCTGAATAATAAAACAACTCCGGACAATTTATTCCAGCTTTTTTTGAATTTTATTGAAGTTTCAGCTCGAAGTATTTGACCCCTTTTTATTTACTTTCCAGATTATTGTTATTGAACTAATCCTAAATAGTGTTTTACTCTCATAAACTCGATATAGAGCACTTGTTTAACAACGCAGAGGGACTCTGTGATGAGTTTATAACTTTGGGAACTATAAAGTACACGATCTGAAGTGTGAAATTGTAAGTGCTGTTTGCATTTTTGTTTGAATTTCGTTTAATAAAAAAAAAGTGCACAAAGCTGTGCACATTTTACATGTGTGGACTGGAAGAACTACTGCAGACCATGGTCAATCTGTTCAATTTCCCTGGCCGTCCCTATAAGCCAGAAGGCATATGGGTATTAATCTCTGAGTAGTGGCAAGTGTGGCAACAAGGCTTAATTCATTTACTTAAGAGCTTTTCACATGGGGTTTAAAAGTTAATAAGACGATCACTCCGTAGTGCATTTGATTAAACCCTGTTAATTACCCCAGGTATAATGGGCTATTAGCGAAGGCCCAGTTGTAAAAGGGCAAAAGTGAGATGATTGTTTTTATGAGGTACTTTTTGTTAACCTTTTTCAATGTCAGGATAATACCGGATATTAGAGTGTAACAGAGTTCCTCCTGCAGTGTGCTGCACGTGGGAGTTAGATGTGGTTAATACCAGAGATTCTTTTTAAGCGTTTGGCTTAAAATTGAATCTTGACTGATTTGAGATATTAGAGACCGCATGGGGGCAAAAACAGAGAGAATGTCCCTTAAAATCATCCGTACATAAGTGAAGCATGTATAAGACTTTTGATTTTAACATATATAATGTTGTCCGTTTGTGGTGTGTGATCCTGATACCCTGTCTTGTCTTTTTTGTTCTCTTATAGGCACTTTCTTTTTAAAACGGGAACAGGAACAACCCCATTCTTCGGCGCTGCAGCTCCTGGCTACACCATGGCAACGGGGACCGTTTACTCCACACCTGCGCGCCCTTTGCCCAGAAATACCCTGTCTAGAGGGGCTTTCAAGTTCAAGAAGTCACCCAAACATTGTTCCTGGAAATGCACTGCCCTGATTGCTGTGGCTATAGCGGTAGTGCTCTCCATCATCCTGTGCTACTGCGTAGGTGAGGCTCAGAGCAGATTATAGCAGCTTTAACATACCAAATGTGGTTGAACTGCATGCTTGTGAGGGGAATAATTCAATAATCATCCATATTCAAGTGTCAAACAGCTATTTAAACAGACTGAAAAGGGGAAGATTTGAAGCTTGACCTATATTGCTCCAAAATGTGCATATCGTTTTTTCAGTCTCAGTTATGGACACACACCAGTGCTCTCTGTCTTTCTTCCCTCCACCATCTCAATTTCAGCTTCCTTACCTCATCAAATCAGAACCACGCTCCATCTGACCACAATGTTTCGGCACCAAGTGCCAATTCGGTTTATTTATTTATTTTTATTTGTGTATTTGAAAATAAAAGTAAAAACTTATAATAAATAACTTATTTCCCTCACACTGAAACTGTTGAGCTTTGCTAAGCACTAATGACGGGGTGCGGTTCTACATGTCACCCGCATTTATGCAACCAGTAGAGTTTTTCTGTGCCTGAAGCGATGAGTTTAGGAAGAGAGAATGATCTGCTTTGGCGTTGGACAATTGTCTTCCATTCAGATGGAACAAATGATTGACGCGCTGCTGCGAGCGAACAGAGGAGGCTTTTCTCATTCACCGATTTCTCCTTTCTGCAGAGATTGCAGATGTCCTGATATAATTCAGTAAAGTCGATCTGGCAAAGCCTTCAGTCAGATATGCGGACGAGGCACTGGTGCCATTTCTAAGAAGACATCGTCATCTCTTTCCCTTTGACAAGAAGCTGTGCATCATTCCCACTCCTGTGATCCGCAGTTCAAAGAACGAAAGCTCGTTTAGGTCTGCTGGAGTTTTTTTGTTAAAAAATCAACTCTGGGTGGAACAAGTTTGGCAACTAAAGTCGTATATAAGATGTTTCGAGTACTTCAATGTAAAGACGACCTTGGTCTACTCAGCCTTTGTTGTACTAGAACTAAAACTCACTTGTTCTGTGGAACAGGAAATGCTTTCATCTCAGTCAGCTGGATAAGATTGTTCCCATCCTTTCAGCTTTATTTCTTATAGGAAGTCTTTGAATGTATTTCCTCTTTAGTTTTTCCCTTTTTTGTTCTGTTTTTATAGCATATGTCAAAGCTGACTTCTTGCTAACCTTTGGAATCTTGACCACAGCAATAAACCTGTTACAGATTTATCTTTCCTCGTGCCCTCTCCTGTCAGCAGAGCCCTTAATCCTTACACTGTGCCTTTCTGCCTGAGCGGATATATAAGTATTCACCCAGCTCGGAGGCAGAGGAAATGTGACAGTTGTATAAAGAGAAATATGGCGATGTTGGGGAGATCCTATAACCAGTGTTTTATTGCCAGACAGAGAGGGAAGTGCTCTCTTGGAGGAGAGGTCATAAACCTGCTACATCAGTATCAATATTCATAATCCCTTCATCGACCTAACTGTTCTGGTACTTGTTGTGGTCCAGGATTTTATATCACTAATTAATTGGAGTGTAAACACATCTATGTTACCTTTGCTCCTACGTCAGTACGAATCAGCTGCTGTTTTAAATGATAAATGACCCGCACTTGTATAGCGCCTCTCAGAGTAAGGACTCCAAAGCGCTTTACACTACAGTGTATCATTCATCCATTCACACACCCTGATGGAGATGAGAGGCGAGGCTGCCGAGCACAGGCGCCACCGGACCCTCCGACCACCACCAGCAGGCTAGGTGGGTTAAGTGTCTTGCCCAAGGACACAACAGCAGAATTCTCTGTCTGGAGTCGGGATCGAACCTGCAACCTTCCGATTACTGGACAACCCGCTCAACCTGTTGAGCTACCGCTGCCTCTTCTGTTCCTTATGACCTAACAGCACATTTGGTCAGTTTCCTCTGAGAAAATGTCTTTTTTTTTCTGCTGTTTTAAAAACCAGCTTGAGCAGATTGAATAATTCACATTTTTTTCTACGCAATCGCTAAGTTGTTTTATTTTGAATCTATTGGATGTTTGGGGATTTATATTTTTTGTGGATGATTCCAGAGTGAACTTGTGTGGTTAGGGGAGTGTGTGTGTGTGTGTGTGTGTGTGTGTGTGTGTGTGTGTGTGTGTGCGCGCGCGTGTGTGTGTGTGTGTGTGCTTGACTGTGCTAAGTAGATGCAGCCCTCTGACATTTGCCTCAGGTGTCTGAGATGGTTTCCACCACTTCTCCTCTCTTTCATCCAGTGCCAACTCTCCTGCCTGGTGCTATGATTTAAATAGTGACAACGTGAACTCATAATTTAATACTCTCCCACTGTCTGCTCACACAGCCTCATTAGGTGCACGAACAGCTCTAGCTACCTGATGAAATACAATAAAAAATAAATGTCTAGAGTTTACAATAAGTTTATAAATTGATTAATTCGGGGGTAAAAAAAAATAAAGCCCAGGCTAGAAGAACAGTTGCAAAAATTGGAAGCTGGCTAATCGACCACAACAGCTCCTGCAATTCAAATGAGGCATATCTGCTGAGGTGAGTCTTCATCGTTCCAGCCCTGCAAACTGGCCCAACTGGAAATGTTTCAACGATTGTCCTGATCAAGGAAGGGTTGATCAGGACGGAGTCCAACAGACTGACAGCAGAAAAACAATGTGGATTTTTGGACTCAAACCAAAACTCAGCTGTGGACATTGTCTTGACTGAAAATGTCAAAATATGGTTTTCTTTTCTTAAAGAAAGAAAAAGAAATGAAAACAACAGAGACATCTTTATTTTTCCGCACAGGTTTTGAGAAATTAAAATTCCAGTGAAGTCAGAAAAACTGAAGCCTCATATGAGTGCATTACCATAATTGGAGCTTCTTCTCTGAACAAGGTTATGACCAGTGGAAAGTGGATTGTTCAGGTGCCTCCACTCGTGTGCGGAGCTGAATTAGCTAAATGTCTGCTTTGTATACTGATTGAATAGCAGATACACTTCGACACTAACACAAGGAGACACGGAGCTTACTTCCCTCACCACAAGACAATAAAACAAATCGTTTGTTGGTCAGTTGTGCGGTAGGAATCCTGCTTATCCATTTAAGGCTGATGGAAACTCTGTCTCAGAGAGCGGGAACATCTTCGCTCCAAGCTGCACCGTTTATTTCTAGGAACTCCTCGGGGACATTTGTGGGCAGCCAGTTTCCAGCATAAAACAATATTTGTCTCTGTAATTTTGAGTCGGTCGAACTCTCGGTTGTTGTTGACACACTTAAACTCCAGATGAGCTACTTAAAAAAAAAGACTTATTTTCCTTTGTTTTTCTGCGTTTCATCATAAGTAAAACTAATGATTTATACCATTTTGCTTTCCTTTGTTTGGGCTAGTGAGGTTAATGCAGTTTATTCTACCAGTAAAAACGAGAAGCAGCTTTTACCCGTGACACACATAGCACCGTGTTTTTCTTGTGGTAAAACCACAGAGATGGGGAATTTGCTGAGAGCAATCTGCAGGATTTTTCCTCAGGCCAAGTTACATTTTCTGGCCCAAAAGTGTTTGTGCTTCTGTACACAAGAGGCCTTGTGGATGTCAGAGCTCAAATAAGCATGTAGTGAACTTACAAATTCAGTGTCGGTGTTCCGCCGGGCAACTTTTGACATCGGTGATTAGAGACCTGCTTTTCCAGGCATCATGCTCAGAACGAAAATTGCTCCTGGCCTATAAATATTAATTGAACTGGTCTAGGCTGTAGAAATAAGTTATGTAAATTTATAAATTGAGGGCTATTCACCTCAAAGCAATTTGTTGATGAGGTAAGTGGGGAATCAGACCCTGGTGCTCTGAGAGCAGTGAAGAGGGGACGGCTCTCGGTGTGGCGCCTCGGATACACAACCGACCGCACAATTTCCTCTCAGGTGGGGGGGTTGGGATAAAGCAGACAGACGTGTTGAGAAGAGAGCCTCTGTGCTTATTATGTTCAATTGATTTAGGCGCTGAAATCGGAAATCAACTCAGTAAAGGTGTTTCAGTCAGAGGTGCTTGTATCTAGCTTAATTTATTGCTTTACCTTTGCAAAAGTTAAATGTTGGCCTTTATTTTTAGCCGAGCTCGTTGCCGGTCCTCGGAGACGTCAGTGTCAGACTGACAGCACGAGCGTGGAGGCCTGTTTGAACACTCAGCCACATTTTAGGTTACTTAAAGGTGAAAAAAGGTTTTTAAAATTTAATTAACATTTCTTTAAAAAGCTTCAGCTGTAAGGCAACATCCGTGTAAGCACATTTACTCTTGTTTATCGTCTCCCGTGATGCACCAGAAGGATTTAGTTTGTATCAAACAAGTTCAGCTTCCCTGACGCGATTTTTAGTTTTTGCTCGAGAAAGATTGTGCTGTTTTTCTCTTCTTTTTCCTTCTTTTCTTTAAGTGATGCCCTAACCTGATTTTATTTGGTGCTGTCAATCATTTTGTAGGAGTAGTTTTTTTTTTTTTACTTTCCCGGCAGAAGTTTAACTTTGAGTTAATGCTCCATGTTCTCATCTGATTCTTGTCATTTCCATCCAGCTCACTAAACTATCTTACCTCAGCAGAAACCACCAACAATTTGGTTCAAGAACTGAAAATAGAATGTTCTGTGACACTGACTGACACTACTTTAGATTTGATTAAATGTAAGGAAAAAGAGTCATGACATTGTACATACTGTGCAAAAAAAATTTAGGAGCCAGACTTTCTTGTAATCTTTTTAAGCTGAGTTTGGTCGATAGTTTTAGGACTTCTTTGAAGATTTTGCAGAGTTTTTTCTTGGCTCGCTTGCTTGGCTTAAACTGTGATAAGCCGTTGGATTGGTTTTTGCTGAAAATTGACTCATAGACACAATGACTAACACAATTTCAGCTGCATTTGCATCGCAACAAATCAGCTCAGGTCTTGCACCCGTTTTCACATTTGAGCTCCTGTCTGAGGAGAGTCAGTCTTGTTGAAACTGTTGATGGAAACCATCTGAAATCGCTTCTTGTTCCTTGTTTTATAGATTGGCAACAAAAATGGATTCTGACACAAAGCAAAGTTTGGAACAAAAGGACCGTACACCTAAATATTCCCCACATGTTAAATCTGCCTTGTCTGACTCAAATCCAAGGCTACGCCACATCTGTTCATTTGATCCATCAAGGACGAGTGTTGTGTGGTTCCTCACTCAACCGAAGCCAAGTATTTTCATCAGGAGGCTTTTTACAAAGCAGACACGCTCCATGTTTCTTAACAAAGTATCACTGACACACTGTTCGTACTAGTTTCCTATCTCTCTTTTGGTCTCCTTTACATTTGATATTCTCTCTGGCCCTACATCCACCTCTCAAGTTATTTGCTGCAGTCGATATCCATCTTCCCAGCAAGCGACGGGTGTTGGAGAAAAGTTCCTCCCGCAGATCAAATGGTCGGAAATCAAGATGCTTCCTCAGCATGTTCCCTGGCTGGTGACTTTGAAGGAGATAAGCCCTCTCGCTGCGCTCACAGAAACGCCTCAGTTTCTCAAAACAACAAGAGCACAGTTTGATTGCATCCAATTCTGCAACAATAAAGCAGGTTGTCTGAATGAAAGCCAGACACGTTTTAGTGTAAGAAAACTAGAGTAGTGTGCAGCGTCTAACCTTCTCACTTCCGTCTCCTGCTGTGCTCCATACACTGCTTTCCACTTTCTCTCACTTTAAGTCTCCTCTGCTATCTCTCTCTTTTGCGCACATGCAACACTATGTCTCCTGTATTAGACTTGAGGAGTTTGACTTTTCCAGTGTATCTTGTCTTTTTTGTCTGAAGTGGAAGCTTTGTGTCAAAATAGAAACTCAGCCTGCTGCTCTCTTTGATGCAGTAGCTGACACTTTGGAACCTTAATGAACAGCACTCCCCAAGGAAACATGCTACAGTATTGATTGAAATGACTTTGTCTGGCCCGTGTTGCTGCAAGGTTTGCACAAAAGCCACCCATGGCACTGTAGCCACTGAAAACAAGATGAAGAGGAACGTGTTTAGAGTTAAACCGTTGTTGTTGCTGCTGCTCACCCCTGAATCCATCCACTGTGCACTCCCACTGGTCTTTTGTGCTTAAGCGGCTTGATTGTTCTTTTGCAACGATTTGCTTATGTGTTAATCATTTTCCACAAACCCACATGGTTTATTTGTGTTTCACAGCAATGCACCTTTTCGGCCTCAATTGGCAGCTCCAGGAGTTGGAAAACCAACCGGCTTTTGAGAATGGAGGGATTGGGAAGACAAGGCCCACTCAGTCGAGCATAGTGACGGCCCTGGCTGCCGATGGTAAGGAAATAAGACTGACACGTGATTACAATAAAGCTGTTTAATTTTAGCTTTGTTATAATATAGTACTAAGCTTACTCTGATGCTAAAATGGGAGTCGACTTGTTCTTTGACATGACTATTTGAAGACATCAAAGTAGGCTTTGGTGATTGATGGGATCAGGTCTCACATTGCTCCACTGACAACCTCCCCCCTTTTCCAACATTTTCTCTGCCAATTTAGATCAAAATGATCAAAACAGCTGAAGTGACCTAGTATTACAGGCCCCCTGCCCGCTGTCCACCCCGCTGGACATTATTTCTACTTGTCTCTTAAAAGAGGATTCTGATACTGTTGGACCTATTGTGTTATCCATCATTAACACCTGCCTTCTGACTGGGACTTATTTGTCTGATTTTTAAACATGCCACAGGGTTCCCTTGCATAAATAGCTAAAATGATGAAAGAAACTTTTCCATTCTGGCTGGGCAGTTTAATTTTTCTCATATGGAGATCCCCAAGGACTTATACTCGGTCCAGTCATTTATTTCTATCTGTACTTCACCCTGCACTACCTTTAAACATGTACTAATATAAATTTCACTACTATACATGTCAAAATCCTAAACAAGTATTTTTTTCAAAGGACCTTCAAAATGTTTTATAATATATAAAATATAATTTTGCAAGGCAGCTTTACTTATATTTATTCATGAATATATATGTATATACATATGTGTATGTATATGTATATATAAATACATATCCATACACAAAGGCAATTCAATGTGCTTTCCAATTAGCAAGAATAGCAAGAACATTAAAAATCAACATGACAGAAAGTCCACACAAATTTAATTTTCATTTAAAAATTAAAAAAAGGACAAAAAGGACAACGTTAAAGGGTGAAGAGTTAAAGTGTAGAACAGTCATTCAAAGGCTGATGAATACATGCAGTTTTTCAATTTTGATTTCAAAGTTTCTAGAGTTGGGGCACATTTGAGGTCATAAGGAAGCTGACTCCCATCTGTGAGCAGGATCGTAGCTAAAAGCAGCTTCATCCTGTTTGGTTTTTAATAAGAGAATGACCGAATTAGAAAAAAAAACCTTCAGTGGTACGTTCCAGACATCCTAACCTTCAATTCCTCCTTAGTGGCGATGTTGTCCCTTTGGCGCCTTTTAAAACACCTTTTGCAAAAACCTGGGGGTGATTTTGGGCAACACCTTTAAGCCTGATGAACAGATATATGCTGTTGTCAAAGTCACTTCCTTCCAGCTCAAAGCCCTTGCAAAGCTGAAGCATTTTCTCACCTTCTCTGACTTTGAGAAAGTAATTCATGCCTTAATGTTGTCCAGACCTGACTACTATACTTACATGTCTGGTCCAACCAGTATCTACTTTCTATCCTAGAACATGTTCAAAATACTGCAGACATGTAAGTATAGTAGTCAGGACATTCCAGATCACTTTCTGGCTGCTTTGGCTTTAACAGACGCAACTATAGTTTAAGCATATGCTTTAGGTATTGCTTTTTGTTTTGAATCAGTAATTTAGCATATTTTTACATTCCTACTTTCCACCTACATTCTACATTTTCACATTTCAACATGTTTACTCTGTCATTTTAATGTGACTAAGTCAAACGTTTTACCGTTTATTTGTTCAGTTGTGCAGCCTTTTGAATAATGCTTGTTGTTTTTAAATATGCTCATGAATAAATTTCAGTGAGTTCACACAAAAATCCACATAGCAGTGAAGCAGCACAGAACAACCCACCTCCGTGCTGGAAAATAATCATTGTGTTAATCTCGTCTATCTGGTTCAAAAACGGTTACCATTTTAGTTCAGGTGTGCAAATATTGTGTTGTGCATTTTTTCAAAATTACATGTTTATCATTCACATGAACACGAATCAGCATGAAACATGTATTTTTTATATATGCTTTTTTTTCGAAACTCATAAACCAGTATTCACTGGGATTCTGTGTGTGAAGCAGCTTGCTGGAAGTCAGTCACTCAGTGGCAGTGAGAAGCAGCAATGTCTTTGACCTTTTTCTACATTGTCTACAATCGTCCTTAGTCCATTTCAAATCTGTAAACTGTGCTAAAACGTTTGAGACATTCTGTCACATCTACTTTTCCTCTAAATGATTGAATACATGAACTAATGTGTCCCTTAATCATAGCGTAATGATGATAATTATTTCAGGATTTTAACACGTCCTCAAAGAGACTTCGCGCTCCCACGTGTTCAAGTTCAGACTTGTTCTGCTGTCTGACAAAAGAAATCGTGTGAACTGCAGCAGCTTCTCTGGCCAATTTTGCACTTTGTGAGATACAATAGGTGAGCACAGTATATTATGGGAGAAGCCAAGCCATAAATATGCTGGACCAGAGTTGTGCAGAGACCTTCAGAAGGGACAGGTGTTACATTTTTTAAAATGACCTTATGGAATTAAAATTTTAGACTCCATTCAGCTATAATTAACAGCACAACATGTTCAATTAAATTCAAACAGATTATAATCATACCATTTTACATTTGTGTTTGCATCTCCTCATTTGGCGATCACTTCCCATTATCTCTCCATCAGAGGACAAACAAGCCTGCAATTATTAGGCTGGTCTAATATTTTATCAATAATTAAAATCTCATATGCCCTCCTGAATATACAGTCTTTTGAAATTGTAGAAAATAAATGTTTTTAACTCACGTTTCTATTGCTTGTGCCATTTAAACAGCTGTTTATGCAACTAAACGACCGTTACATGTGTTGTTCGTACTTGTGTTCTTCCCCACCCAGCTGATCAGAGATCTGTTGCCTTCTGCAGCAATGTGGAACTCTGTGTGTTTTTGTCTTAGTTTCTTTGAGGGGGTTTTGCCCTGAAACATGAAGAATCAGACCCTTCTTTCCATGAGAACTGTGAATACATAAATTGGTGATCTAGTTTAGGCACAGAGTTTATTTAATCAAGGAGATAAAGATGGGAGTGAGGTCATTGTGAGAGGGTGTGTGTGTGTGTGTGTGTGTGTGTGTGTGTGTGTGTGTGTGTGTGTGTGTGTGTGTGAGTGTGAGAATGCTTCAGGACATTTGAGAATAGAATTAAAGAAATGAAATATACAATTTCCATAACAAGTTCATATTCAGCTTGTCTGAGTCATGCAAAAGGTTGCTACATTTGTAAATGGTAAATGACCTGTATTTGATATAGCACCGTCTAGAGTCCTCAAACCCCCGAAGGTGCTTTACAACACAATCATTCACCCATTCACACCCTGGTGGTGATGAGCTCAATTGTAGCCACAGCTGCCCTGGAGCACACTGACAGAGGGGAGTCTGTCATACACAGGCACCACCGGTCCCTCCGACCACCACTAGCTGGTAAGGTTGGTTAAGTGTCTTGCCCAAGGATACAACAACAGCAACAGACTAAGCGGGGCTTGAACCTGCAACCTTCCGATTACAGGGTGAACACAACTCCTGAGCCAGCGTCGCCCCACTCCACACAATTCAGGTATATAAATGGATTAGAAAACACCTGAGTGGATATCTGTTTCCAAAGTGCTGGTAGAAACCAATGAACAGCTAAGTGTGGTGGAGCAATTTCAAGCAAAGTTATCCATGACAAAAGACAGTTCCCAAGAATCATAAAAGAAGGTAAACGTAAAAATCTGCTTATAGTCTGCTTTTTGTTTTTAGAAGCACAGGTGTTTGAGAATTGCAAATGAACAAAAATACAAACGAGAATACTCTGTCTTCCATGAAACACCGAAAAAAGCACAAAGAGTTCAACTCTCAGGCAGTTAAGGCTTCTTCTTTTTAAAGTTACTCAACTGTTGGTAGCCTATAATCATCACTGTCTGTTTACAGCATCCAGCCTTCCACCAGTGCAACAATGAAAACTTGTGTGATGTAAAAGCACATCCAAAATAACCACACCTTTGATTTGAAGCCATATTTTCACAAACAGCAGACAGACCAAACCAGCTTTAGGTTTTCTTTATAGCTAAACTTTAATTAAACGTCAGTAAACAAAGTGACAGGTGCTTCATGACCTATAGCTGCCCCCCTTGGGTGTGGACATTAAGTGACACAAAGTGGCGTTTGCTAAAACCTTGAGTTAGATTGAATTGGAAACAGTTGGTAGGGCTGATTTGGGATGATGTAATCAGACCTCTGCTAGGGCACTTACACGCTCAGACCGTTAGACACCAGCAGTGGCTACTGGTGAGCATGATAATGTTAAATGCCCCTGAACATCAAACTAGAGTTTACTTGATTATTCATTTTTTTATAAAACATTATGCTCTAAGCTTGTGGAACAACCCCAGCTCTAAATACGTAATCACGATTTTCAGCATAAACACATACCAACAAGATCAAATTAAATATTTAAAGATCTTGGGAGTCATATTCAAAGTGCATGGGCATTCCATCAGGCCAGTGGTCAGTCCTGATCCTTATGTGTCTCCATCCTCAGTGTTTTAGATGTTTCTCTGCTGCCAATCACCTGATCTTAAACGGTGTTTTGCAGAACTTGAGGAGATTATGACCAGATTTTTTGATAACTGTAATTAAGAAGGTCCGATAACGTCGACATACAATTTTTATCAGCTGATGTTGGCATTAAAGTGTAATATCAGGAATAATCAGTATCTGTTTTTACTCTTTTTAATGACACTAATTTACATATAATGAACATATTTTACATAAAACTCTTCAGCTATTTCTCCAGTTCCTCAAAATGTCAAAATATGACAGATCCAAGGTAGTTTTTGAGATCTTTTTAATTGTTTGGCACAACTTTTGCCGAAGTAGAAATTTGCCCTGTTTGGTGGGCGTTTGTCAAGATATCGCAGGGAGAAGATGATTTAGCTGCTGTTGGAGACAAAACAAACATGGCACCTTTTCATTTGACTAACTTAACCTGAAGTAGTCATATTTTGCATGGATAATGTTTAAAGTTTGAATGATAGAACATGTGTGTTGTTAGTTACTAGGGGGAGAACCCTGCATATATATATATATATATATATATATATATATATATATATATATATATATATATATATATATATATAAATTTTAGGGGTGGGCCGTTATTGGCGTTAACGCGCTGCGGCAAAGCCAGACTCTTATCGCGCAATAAAAAAAATGACGCCGTTAATCTATTCTCAAAGTTGGGTTGGGATCTGGGTCTATACTAAATGAGCTATGATGACTTTCACATTGCGCGGATGGATACCTGGTTGGCGCGGATGTACACTCGGCGCGGATCATCGTACGTATGGACGGACGCCAGGCTCGCGGAGTTTAATGTTCCCCATACAGCCGAACAGTCGCACCTTCGCCACCAGCAGCGCTTCTCTCTTCTCATCGCGCGGGACAAGTAAATAATTTATGTACTTTCACCAGAGTTAAATACATAAATGCGACTTTCATTCTTTTTATTTTGTTTTGTTTATCTCCGACATTTCCAGCCGGGCTTTCCCCGGGCCACACTTCACCGTCCGCGGCCGAAGCAGCGCTCGGATGTGAGAAAACCGAGACAAGACTTTCTCAGACTGGTGCGGTTTCCAACTAAGTTTAGCAGCTGTTTATTGTGATAAAGTGATAAATTGTTTCTACAGGTCGTTGTTCATGTGGCTTCGACTCAAATTCACCTGTAATAATAAACATTTTACTCATAAATTTTTATATTTGTTTAGAAAAGTTGAGCTAGGATAACTCCCCTTGCCATTTTCAGAGACAACAACAGCAACAGTTGGCTTCTGCTCATACAGGTGAGCTGTGGCATCATTTCCAGCTCTCGCTCCTATTCACCAGAGGCGATCCTACATGCAAACTAAAGGGGGGCATTGGAAGGGCACCCCAGAAATTTAACCCCCTCCCCAGGCCAGATTGTGCAGAAGAGAAGATCTAGTTTGTCACTAGACAATGTGAACAAGCTGGTCTGCTTGAGTGACTGGTGGAAGGAGAAATAGAGCTTGGACTGATTGACCAAATGCTACTGACTATAAATAGTTAATCATGACCTATTCTGTAGACCTACAGTGCAGAATTTGTTGAACTGAATAAACAGCTATTAAAAACAAATACTTATTGATCATTATTTATTTTCATCATCAGTTATCATAGTAAAACTGCTTTATCAGTCTGTAATGCATTATTGAAACAAGAAATACGCCTCCATTCTCAAAGACTTGCCTTTATTCATTATCTAGGTAGCACACACATACGCCTTTGGCAGAATTTGAATCAGCCATTTTAATCTAGATTAATCTAGATTAATTCCAAGATTACAGTGAGATTAATCTAGATAAAAAAATTAATCTATGCCCACCACTAATATATATATATATATATATATATATATATATATATATACATTCTGTGTTATGATATAGAATCAGTGTTAAAAATCAATGTATTTTTTTTCTGTTGAAAATTGACATTCAATCATTTGCTTTATTTCTTTAGTGTGGTGCAATTCAGACTCTGACTGCTAGGTGGCAGCAGTTTTTATTCATTTGTCCCTCTGTTGGAACAATGCGATCTAGCATATAACACCAGATGTGTCTTGGAAGCGTCTTCTTGAGTTTTTCATTAACATTCAGTCTAAAAACTTGCAAATATCATTTTGCTTTTAGTCGCAATATGGATCGTCGTCCCTGTATTAGGATACATATTGTATCGCCATATACTTACCAATGCACACCCCTAGTGTACATTGATATGGGTTTATATTGGTATCAGAAATTAAAGTGATACTAGGCAGTTTTGCTTGTTTCTAGCATCCCCTAGTATCTGTTATTCTCTGTGATTAAACCGCAAATGAAACTTATCTCCTTGCTGTGCGTTTGTCTTTTTAACACCTTAATCTAACAGCTGAATGTCTCCACAGCCCTCATTAGTGTCTGCAGGAGTGATTAATCACTAAATCAAACAAATCAGCTGTGGTCATGAGCTAAAATATGCAGGAAATGTGCTGGACGCAGACTCTGGCTCCATCATGTCAACTCCACTGCTCCCTCTACCAGCAGGGAGTGGTCCACCAACTCTGAAGTTGCAAGTGTGGTATTCTGTCCACAGGGGGCAGTGGGGTCTGAGTAACATTTCTTTAACCCCATAAAGAGCCTTTTTAGCACCTACTGGCTCAAGAAAGTCATTTAAATATATGAAAAAGTTGCAAACCGTCTCTTTAAGAGATGGACTATAATGGTAAATTGGATGATGATGATGATACTTAGTCCCAAATCACATCTAGCGTCATCTCCAGGCACTTACAAAGTAAACATTCCATCGAACCTACTTATCAGTGCATTGGCCAAAAAAGCAGATATTGGACATCCCTAATTGCAGTATGTGTATTGGGGCGGGGAAACAACTAAAGAACATTAAACAGGCTCTCAAGGATCACAATTGTACACCAAAGAGGATTGTATGTGGATCTAAAAGGGGTGTTCACTCATAAGCCGTAACCAACCTTAATGGGTCAAGGGATTTGTAAAGCACTAAAGTGCTAATTAATTTCATCAAAGAAAGTTTCGAATGACAATTAAGAAGGACAAATATAAACAGCACAACATTTGGCCTCTGCAATCAGCTCAATGCTGAGCCATGAAAATTTATTGCAATCTCTCACCTTCTGGAAATCAATTGACTGAATACAAACGGAGTTCTGCTCCCTAATCATAATTTCGGCCCATTGTGTATTCGTCAACAAAGAAAGCAGACCATCCCACCTCACCTTTACAGCAAACGCCACCAATGGATAATCAAAGCACAGTGCAGAATTTAAAATGCAGAGCCACGAAAGCATTAATGGAGTTGAATAGGCCAGGCAAAAGCTCAATTGTTTAAACTCGGCTAGATTTAAATCCTCATAAGTACTGCTAATTAAGATAGCATGAGGCAGGTTTTGGACTGTTTAAAGGCAATCAATAGCCAGCTATTATTCTCCCCAGAGGTAAACTTGGCTTTCGAGCCTCACTTTGACTGAAACGGAAGTGACAGGCGATGGCCTCATTACACACCCAACACTGAGGCATGCAAATAAAGGAGGTCTGGCACAAACAGATATACTCGCAGCTACAGCACACGTGTCTGCGCTCTGAAATGCTTCTTAAGAGGAGGAGCAAAGCAAAGTGTGAGTTGTTAGTTTTGCTCGGTATCTTCCACATGCATTCCTTCCACAGCCGACGGGCTTTGTAAATTATTTTTTTCTACGTTTTAACAATAACTTTTCAGGTAATAGCACATTGTATGCCTCAATTGTTCGTGTGTCCACAAACTAAATAACTTCCAGAAAAACATAGCACTATAAGGACACGGTTGAAGGACATCAATCAGCAAATTGTTTTGATTTGCAGTTATTGCACTGGCAGGGTAGCTCTAAATGTGTCTGACAGATTCCATTTACACCTTATCTGATAAAAGCCTCGCTTTATATGAGCCTCAAGAACCGGGGAGAAGATGGGAGATTTGGCCCGTTAGAGCCCTTTAAAACACAATTATAAAACTTGACTTTATTTTTTATATTTTCAAAGCAGGGTGTAGAAATAAGCGCTTTTAATCCTATCACACTTTGTCACATCTGATTTGGAATGGATATGAAACTCTTGTACCTGTGTCCCAGCCGTATTAAGACATTAGGATTACAGGAAAGCAACGGAAACATTGTGGTATTTATTGATGTCTGTGAAAAAGGCTAAATAATAAAAGCAGAATGAATAGCATGACTTTTGATGTGAATGAGTAATATTTAGTTGTATTTAGTTGTTGGACTACGTTGCATCATGTCCTTTAAGCCAGCATCTGATAGGTCGACGCTGAAAAATGTGATCCGCATTTGAGCGACACTTGGTTAAAGAAATGTTCTAAATGTTTGTCAAGGTTCTCAATTTTCTCACAAGAATCATTCGGCAAAAATGGCAGAAATTTTAAACCTTAAATAAAACAGCAATTCTTTACTTTCTCCAGATAGTTAAAGCATCATTGCATTTGTCCTGAGCCCTTCTGAATCTTAGTTACTTGATCAAGAAAGTGCAAAAAATGTAAGTCTATGAGGGCAAGAGACTATTTTGAGGGAAAAAACAGAATTTGCAATTTGTGTGTGGGTTTATGTTTCTCAGTGTGCATGTTCAAAATAATGAAATAAAATTTTTTAAAAGCTTTGAAGGTGAAGTTCAGTAAGAAACAAACAGGCTAATACTTGTTCTTTTTGAAGCATGATTGTTCATTCAGACTTTTACATTTAGGCTGAACATAAAAATGGTCTTCTACCCCTATTTCCTGCATTAGCTACAGAAAGAAAACAGATGGTAAAACGCCCGTGCCAGAAAATGCCACACAGATCTGCATCACGCCCATCTTGGCTCACAACAAGGGAAGGCCGTGTTGATTTTGCGGAGCACCTCTCAGTTAGTAGAAGCTAACCGTTAGCATTAGCAACTCCACAACATGGCAGACACTTTCAGGGTTGTGTTATTTAAGGAGATAAAACATCAAAGTTGCAGAACAAATGGTGGAAGTGGATGAGTTGTGTTGCTGTTAGCCAATCACAGGTGAGATGTTTGTATATGAATATTAATGACTCCCAAGTCCTGCTGTTTTCTGCTTCCCTCTCTTCCAGCTAACCTGAAACAGGAGCACGAGGGCTTTCATTCCCCAGTGAATGACTCACAAAACATTTATTCATACGAGAGACCACTGCAGATTTATTGAAATAACAAGTGTAGGCACCATAAAATACAAAATTAGGACAGAATTTTTTGACTGAATTGTGAGAAGAAAAATTGCAGATGCTTTAAAAAAATGTATGAATTTATTTGCATTTTTGACTAAAACTAAATTAAGCAACAGGTCCAACTAATCACAGCTAAAAATGTTTATTGTTTTTCTATTTTGTGTCTATGATCACCATCAGTCTCAGCTCAGTGAGGTGCAGACGTTGCCTTTGCCCGGTTGATTCTGTGAATCCTGACATATTGTCACTGTGGTTTTTTCAACTTTTAGGGAAGACTAGCATCTTTCAACACGAGAACAACTCCATTGACACTGGACAGGTTGACATTGGAAAGAAGGTGGCTCAGAGTGTTCCACCAGGGGTTTTCTGGCGTTCTCAGCTGAACATGGACCAACCGCGCTTTATTAAGTTCAACGTCTCGGTACAGAAGAGCGCACTGATAGGAGTCTATGGACGAAAGGGTCTTGCACCATCTCATACCCAGGTGAGGAATTCCAAATAATTACTTTATGTACTATTGAAAAATAAACAGTATTGCTATATTTATTGACTGATTCCTTTTAAATCTGTTTCTTAAAAGGCTTTTGACTTTATGGCATATTTTGTTTTATACTACTCAAAAGATTTCAGCTGATGACAGTTTAGCATCTGATCTCTACAGGGCCATGTAAAGTGTGCACTTTACGTTCTCATGTTAAGCATTTAAAAAGAAAAGATAGTGCCTCTTCTAAAAGTGATTTTCATTCAGAGTGAAATCATTTTCACCTTTCCATACTGGTTATGGGCCTTTTCTCCAGCGTGCAGACAGTTTCCTCACTGCTCTGAATATTTTAACATTATCTACTGAAGATGTTGAAAAACCCCATTTTTAGCACTGTTACATAAAAAGTTACTCTTATTTGTTCATGCAGTCTTTGACAGACTGCTGTACCTCTTTATTCTTCACTCGTGAATGCCTCAAACTCTAATGAAGTTTCTTTTCTTCTGAGTAATTACACTGACTTGTACAAAATCTAATTAAGTTTAAGATTTTCCAACCTTTTTTTCCCCACTTCTTTTGGCTTTGCAAATCGTTTTTCAAGATGCACTGACTGTCTCTCATCTTAGCATTCAATTTGATTTACTTTAAAACATGTATTTAAAAATAGAAGCAAATGTGTACAATATTGTCTCACTTTTTATACTCAAATTTAGCTGTGGGAAAATTATAACAATCATTGGCTATTTTAATTATTTATTATTTTATTAAATGAAGTCATCTATTCTCACCTAATTTTTAACTGTTAGTTCATTTGTAAATGAGGGCTTTCTGTAACATTTGTTAGCATGCAAACAGGTGTCACCTCTGCTAAATATCTGCTGTTTGGGAAGTGTTCCCAAAATGTCTGACGTCTCTCTTTATTGACATTTCTGATCATCTAAACGTCTGATGTGTGCTGATGGTGATGAAAGCACTCAGACAATAGTTCTTTCCTGCCATACATGGCAGAAAAAAAGCTCTTAGCTTCACCCTTTCCGACACTCTCTCTTTGTAAAGACGAGCTTTACTCAAGTGTAGGCGCTTAAGGCCGCTCTCAAATGGAAGAAAGTCCATTGCGAGTGACAATAGGTGGACTGGATTGTACCTTTAAGGTAAATAAAGAAGAAAGGGGAGAAAGAAGAAGTAACCCAGCAAAATCAAAGACCAAAGCATACTAATTAACAAGGCTCTGCTGTTATGTCTCAAGCCATTGCTATTCAGGCACTCGTGCTTGTCAATGCTGGACATTGTGTCCATTGTGCCAACTTCTAAATTACATTCTGCTCAGGTACTGGGGGAACAAATCAATGCATTTACTTAACTGAGCATGAAAGACCCCAATGAGAGATATTGACTGTTTGTCGTATTCACTGCTTGGAAGACAAGACAGCATTTAACTGCAACAACCTTTCCACCTTTGTCAAATATAGACTTCCTCCATTTTCTATTGAGTGTCTGTCTGTGATGATACAAGCCAGACAAGTTGGAAAGACAAACTTTTTTTTTTTTTTTTTTTTACTCCTAGGTTTGCTCTCAGTTTCACGACTTTGCAGGTTTCCTACCACTTTCCTTCCCTGTCCACGGGGGCATCTGGGAGTTTCTCCGAGCTTAGTCTCTTGGCTGTTTTTCACCTGTATTGTTGGATTGAGATGAGTTGGGGGGGCTTTCACAGCACCTAATGAAGATGTATGCACTCAGCCGGGGGGTTAGGGCTTGTGGGATGAACTGTTTTATTACTTCCCCCTCAAGTCAACAACAAAGAAGTCAACTTCCGCCAGGTTAATACCTCCGCCCAACCCCCACTGCTCTGCACAAAGGTGTCTCAGTGGGATTGTTGACTTCACCTGACTCCCCATTAATGCTCTTTTTTATGGGAGTGATTTGAACAGTTGTACCGGTCACAGTCCCGATCACCAGAAATCTTGTTTTAAGTCCTAGTTTAAGACCCATTTCTTTTCTTTACTTTTTGATTCACTATTCCAAGAATATTGTTATTGCCTTTAGATTGGACGTTGCATATTTTCAGAAAATTGCTGAACTTAATTCCCTAAATTGGAAATAGTAGTGTTCCTTTTTCATTTAGATACTTATTGTCTGCTGATTCAAAAGACAAAAATTACACAAATTACATCGGCTGGGGCAACATATCCCAGTAAGAATCTTTTATTTTTTATAGTTAAATGCAATGCACAAGAAATGGCAAGAAATATGTCAAAAATTCCAATTTCAAAAGCTATTTCCTCACAACTAATGACTCATTGAACAGTCTCATTGCTGAATTTGAATTGTAGCTCTTTTAAACAGCGGCTAAAGAGCCAATCTGTATGCATCACACTCCTAAGCAGCCCACAGACTCTTTTTTTTCAACCCTGGTATTCACCACAGAGTCATTTTATCTGTGTAGCTAACAACTGCTTTAGCCCGAGGATCTGCTGTCTTCATCTGCTGTGCTACTTTGCGGCCTGCAGCCTGTTTGGGGATTGTTTGTACTGTATGCATTACACAGTTCTTTTTTTCTCTCGCTGCACTCACCAGCTCCAGTCAAAATGTGGTTCAGGTGTTGAGCAGGTGCAATGAGAGCAGATGCACCTCTTTACTCATTGGTAGGGATAGCTCATTCCTCTTTGCTTACCCTGTAAATCAATGTTTGTTTGAAAATGAAAAATAGAGATACTATCACGCTGAATCTCCAACATAAAGGGAGAGAAAAGTGCTCATGGTCGGTTACATTTGTTGTTTATTTTTTGTTTTTGTTTTTTGATGTGCTCTCTGCTCTCAGTATTCCTCTTTTCCCAACCCACTGAAAGCAATAACAACATTTATTTTATTTGTTTTATTTTGACAGACTACCAACCAAAAATGCAACATGAATCTAATTTTCATCAGCAAAACTAAATGAAATGCTGCATCAATGCTTATATTGTGAATGTGACTTTAGCAGCGAATCAATCTGAATTTCAAATGTATTCATCTAAACGCCACATTATCAAAGTTAATTTAACAGGCTGTAGTAAACACCCTGTGTGTTGCAAAGTCCCATCACGGTTCAGAGTGTAGCTTCTGCATTTGCCTCAGAGCCATATCGGTTCTATCAGAACACAAACTCACCTCCAGACAACATCTATCAGCTCTGAATACCTGCCACAGAAAAATCAACATTTATTATATTTGAATGGTTGTTATGTATACACAATCCACTCCTGGCTAGGCCTTGCATTAAAACTCTGCATTAGCTACTTTTAGAGAGGACATCACAGGCTGCATACCAACCAATACCAGCAGACATACTTTTTCAACCCTTATGCTTGTTTATGGTTTGGGTTTACTAGGCTGGCATTAAAGGTGGCATAAGTAAGAATTCTTCAGTGAAAAGATCACAGAACAGTCTCAATCATGTTGAAAAGACGGTTACATTGAAACAGATTTTCTTCTCAGGTGAATGGGGGGTTGTGAGTTTTTGTCTTTTTAAAAAGTGCAAAGAGGGACATAGTCACCATTTACAGTCTGTCCTGCCTACATATGTCCTGGTTCCAGAGCCAGTCATATTTGATGCTGCAGAATTGCCAGGTCTGCGCTGGCAACTGGCTGGCAAAAAGCAGTAACGCTGTGAAAAGAATGGAAGCCATTAAAGGTGTAGTTCACTGAAAACCTATTTTTAAATGATTATGTCTGATTATAATCAGTCACTCTGAGTTTCTCATTCAGGCTGAACATGAAAATAGTCTTCTACACCTATCTCCTGCTTTAGCTTCTGATAGAAAATAAATTGTGAAACTAGCATTTGAAAATCCGGACAGATCTATGTCACTTAACACTCATGGACTCACCCATCTTGACACACGACGGGGAAGGCTGTTGTTGGTTTAGCGTCCAGGAAACAGCAGAGAACATCTCGGCTAGTAGAAGCTAACTGTTAGCATTAGCAACACCACAACACAGCAGCACTCCTTCAGGCGTGTGTTATTTGTGGAGATAAAATGTCAATGTTGCAAAGCAAACAGTGTCAGTGGTAGATTCACATTACTGTTAGCCAATCAGAGAAGAGATGTCCAACTATCAGGAAATAAGACTTCAAATCATGTTGTGCCCTGCCACTCTGTCCTCCCGCTGACTCCTTCATGCTGATAAAGTCACTTCTGGGTTTTCATTCCTACTCTACCACTACAAAGTGTTGATTAAACAAGTTTAAAAGGAGCCTTCCAGATGCCATATTGTGTGCCCCTAAGAAGCCACAGTATCCTTTTTGTTTTACTCTAATATCTGGTGAAGAAGGTTAGAGGCTAACTAATAATGCTAACTGTGAATAAGAAAAAAAAAGAATCAGCTCAAAACATTTCTCAAGCTACTTAAAATAGTACAGGTGAAACTTGAAATTTTTGAATATGGTGCAAAAGTTAATTTATTTCAGTAATTCAGCTTAAAGATAAAACTATTACATGAGACAGACTCATTACATGCAAATCCAGATATGTTGAGCCTTTTTTTGTTATAATTGTGTTGGTTATGGCTTACAGCTGATGGAAACCCCACATTCAGAATCTCAGATAATTAGAATATTGTGAAAAGGTTCAATATTGTAGAAAAGTGTCCCACCCTATTCAGCTAATGAATCTAGAACACCTGCAAACGGTTCCTGAGCGTTTAGATGGTCTCTCAGTCCAATTATGGAAATAAATGAACTTTTGCACATTATTCTTTTTTTCAGTATAACCCTCCCACTGTCTTTATGGGTGACCCCGCAAGGAAAGTTGACCATTGAGCAGGGTTGATGGTTTATCCCTTGAGGTCCATGTGGCAGGGGTGAGGAGGGAGCACCGCCTCACCCCTGCCACATGGACCCAAGGGATAAACCATCAACCCTGCTCAATGGTCAACTTTCTTCACATGGTCACACCCATTAGGACAGTGGGGGGTTAAACATGGTAACTGGTCTGTATTTGTATGGCACCTTCGTAGGGTTCCACAACCCCCAAGGTGCTTCACAACACAATCACTCATTCACCTATTCACACACACATTCACACACTGGTGGGGATGAACTACGATGTAGCTACAGCAGCCCTGGGGCGCACTGACAGAGGCAACATGTATTTATCTAGTTATCAGCTTAGAGTGTATGACTCCTCTTTGCTTGTCATCGAGAATCTTCTGGCACTGATCCATAACTGGCAACAGTTGCTCAGAGCAGACATGGACTGCAGTCCCCTAATTGGACCACAGGATGTTACTTCATGCACCTTTAAAATAACATTAGATTGCATCTACTGAAATGCCCTCTTGGTGTTTTTTTTTTTCTTTCTCCGTTTTGCAGTACAACTTTGTTGAGCTTCTAGATGGCAGCCGGCTCATCGCCAAAGAGCACTGGATGCAGAGCGAATCAGACGCAAAGCCCCGGCTAGACCACCCGGTCACCGTCCACCAGGCAGGATTCATCCAGTTCCTGGACTCAGGGGTGTGGCACTTTGCTTTTTATAACGACGGGCGAAGCGTGGAAGTTGTCTCCTACAACACCATCATCCAGGGTATGTATGAGAACACGCATCTGCTGGGCTGGTTATAATGAGTGTGATTGGAAGGGTGTGTAATGACATGTTTAGAAGACTTTAATTTCCTGAAACAGCTGTGCCTTCATGAACAGGGAGAGTGTTTGGCAATCTGTCTGCCACACGAACAAGCTGAGATTTTCCAAACTTTGAGTAACACAGAAGGTAGATGTAGGTTTACATTTCAGTGTTGTGGATCATTATGGTTAGTACAATAATGCAAGACCATACACTGCATTGATCCTTCCCCTCCTAACAACCTCCTCCATGTTCTGAAGTCTAGGAAATTTCCTTGCGGGTTTTGAGCTATGAAAAACACACTAAGGTTGAGTTAACGTTTTTTCTTTTTCTTTCCTTTGGGGAGTTCCATTGATCCAGTCCTACAAATATGAAGGTATTGATGTGTGAGGTCAAAATTGCTTGGGTCTGACAGTGGCTCAATGAACATCCAATACAAGCTAAAGTAATAACATAAAAGTTGGCCCTCTTAACGCCGATCAAAATGAGGGCCCTGGTCTTTGGGGGGTGCGATTTATGAGCATTGGTCTGTTGAAAGAACACAAGATCTGTCTGTAGGATATGTCAGATTAACTTCAACTCAGAGAGGATTTGAGCTGTAAACACTCAGGAGATTGCATGACTTGTGTGGGCATGATCAGTCATTCAAAAGGTTGAAGTGGCAGAGGAGACAGGAGGGACGGGAAACGTCTCAAGGACATGGAATTATTTGGATTAATATAAAATGCCTTTTTGTGTCTTTCACTTAACAGGGCTTAGATGGGAACAGTCAGCATGCAGTAGACTGTTATGGAGGCTTAGACCTTAGTGGCACATGAACAAACAGCTGTAAATATATTCTCTGACTGAGGTCCGCGTTGCAGAAACGAGTTCACATGTCCTAAAGTTGTGGTGCAGAAACAAGAAGACAGCCTGGTTTACTCCACTATTACTGAATCTGAAATAAATCTGTTCAGATATGTCTAAGTGTTATTTATGCTTGCAACCCCTTGTGTCCGCAGAATCTGTGTCAGAGTGCACACACAACTGCTACGGGAATGGAGAGTGTGTGGCAGGATCGTGTCACTGTTTCGCTGGATTCACAGGATCTTACTGCTCCAGAGGTAATTACTCAGCTTTAATAATTATCTTAAAGGCTCACTTTAGCCCTCCTAAGGCTTATCAGTTCAATATTCCACTAATGGAAAATGGACCCGATAAGTGTTAAAACTGACGCAGTTATTAATAAATGATGAGACAACTAAAACCAGTCTGGTGTTTAAAGCCAAAGCTTTTGGACCAAAGTAAAATGTCTTGAACGTTAGAGAAGTCTGTGGCCGTGCTTACAGAACCAATCTGAGGATGGATGCTTAATAAAAGACAAACCAAAATGATTCGAACTGTCACATATTTTACTCATGAAGTAACATCTAAAGATTTGGTCTGTTTGATGTCGAACTTAGACAGAGTTGCATTTAGAGGCATTTTAACTAGGCATGGCATGAAAAGCTTCCTAGAAATGTGTCATTACTGCAACATAAAGAAAAACCTTGAAAGGCATTCCTAACACAAATTAAAGAATGTTTTTTTTCTTTTGTAATATGAGTTCCTTGATTGCTTCCACTAAGTCAATACAGCACTTTAGAAAAAAAAACGGTGCCCACCTCAGCATGCAGGCTTGTGAGGATCATGAATTCCCTGACCAGAAAGAGCAGAGAGTTTCTTTAGAGACAATTCCTCAACAGTTTCACTCGTACATATATTTTTAGCTGGAGGGCATGAGGCTATCCTTGATGCCACAGGGTGAGAAGCAGAGAACACCCTGGATAGGATGCCAAGTCCATCAAAGGGCATTGTACGAATTCCAGATACAGGAAAATGTAATGGGATTTTATAAAGTTCTTCTCCCTTTAGGCAAAGCCACACTGGCTGTTTCTAACTTCCCGATAATCTGAGCTAACAAGACGCTTGTCCCAGCTTGACATTTAAAATACTGATATGAGTGGTGAATCATTTCCTGTAACTGCGGATGTGTTTTTTTTTCTTTTTACACCCTTTTACCAAACAAATGGTGCCATCTGCATTATTAAAGTGCCTGATATGATGCCTTCAAATATCAGACACGAGCATGTTATGCTTTTGTAGGATGTTCCCATTAACTAAGTACGCTACATAGCTTTTTGTCCATTGAATTAATTGCAAAGTGCACTCCAACGGTGGTTATTCTTCTCTGCAGAGTGACTGCTCTTGAACTGCCAGAAATGCACTTTTTTCTTTACTTAGTGACATCACTGTGAAAGACATTTGCATACCGCTTGACAAGTGTGGTTTTCCTCTTTTCTTTCTCTCTTTTTTTCTTTTTTGGCTCAATCAATGAATCAAGCAGGCCTGAACTCTGTCATTTTTTTATCCGTTAGCTGAAAAATCAAACCAGGCAGTGTGTTAATATGAAAGAAACAGGAGATAAAAGTATTTATTAAGTCATAATCTGACGCTAAAAATGCACAGTATGAGGAAACTAATGTGTTAATTTTACAACTAGGGCAATAAAATAAATAATTAACTTGGAAGTGAGTGTAATTAGTCGACTTTATGCCTGATTTCTTCCTGCAGTTGCCTGTCCCGTGCTGTGCAGCAGTAATGGCGATTACACCAGGGGGCGATGTCAGTGCTTTAGTGGCTGGAAGGGCACGGAGTGCGATGTTCCAGCCTCCCAGTGCATCGATCCTCAATGCGGGGGACATGGACTCTGTGTGGCGGGAAATTGTGTGTGCAACACGGGCCACAAAGGAGTCAACTGTGATCAAGGTAATCCAGAAAGAAAAACTCCTCCTCCTGGACTCAAAGCAGATTGATGCAACAAATGTCTCCACCATGCTCCAGGGGAATCAACAAATTCTCTTAGTGAAACAATCGGTGTTTTCGACTCCACCGAGCAGATAATGCTTTGGATGTTGTTATTGATATTGTGTGTATAAATTAAGTCCCTCTTAGTGTTTAGACTACATGAGGGTACAAGCTTGAACAGACTGCGCATTGCCTATCGATGCATTCACCTACTGGAGGGCTCCACAGATGACGACACCTGTAAAAATCAATCAGTCCGTGGCATCTGTTCCTCTTTGTTGCAAAGAAAAGGCCTGCTTCCTCTCCCTTGTCAACCCCCCCTCCCGCAGCCACCCCCTTCACTTCTTTGCATTTAACTTTATCGATCCCCATGCAGATAAAAGGCAATTATCAGCTCAGATTTACATGTGGGAGTTGTTGAACTTCCATGCTAAAGCTATTGAGTTCACTTAATGAATATGTTGTGGTTTCCTTTGGAGGAAAGAAACGTGATAAAGGAACACATAGGAGAGGAAGTTATGCGCGTTGTTCTTAGCTTGCATGGAAACACTTTTGTTTGATAAAGTGGATATAATGAAGGCTTATCTGTGCCTGAGTAAATCCAGAAATTCTCAACAAAACTACTTGAGCAGAGGCACAGAAGGCCTGTAAGTTCCCCGTGTTACTAAAGGGTTGATTAGACCATAATTGCCAATTATTGACCTAGATCAGCCAGTTGATCTGCAAATTGTTAATAGTAATTGATCATATCAGTCTAGACACTAATTGTGCTTTGTTTCACAGTGCCTATAATAGAGCTTAATTATCTGTCTCTATGTTGAAAGTACCCTATAATATAACATAGAGAAAGTAGCAGAACGCAGGGTGGAAAATTGTTATTGGCATCCTCCAAACCCAAAAATTTCAGCTGTGGCTCCCCAGCCGTCATCCGGCACTCGAGCATTTCCACTCTAAAAATGACTTTTTGGCTGGTAGCGCATTCAAAGTGGCCAAGGTAAATAAGTAGGTTTGTATCTAGAAGTGGTAAACTGACACAGCTGTCATCCTGGTTTTGTGTCTTCAGTGGACTGTGTGGACCCGACGTGCTCCGGTCACGGAGCCTGTCATCATGGTGAGTGCCACTGTAACCCGGGCTGGGGAGGGATCAGCTGTGAGATTCTGAAGAGCACTTGTCCAGACCAGTGCTCCAGTCACGGCACTTTCAACACCGACACAGGAACCTGCGTCTGCGAGGCCAAGTGGACAGGAGCCGACTGCTCTATAG